GCTCTTTGCAAGATGACTTGCAAGGGCACTTGTGGGCTATTTGATGTTTTGGCATCCCTTACTCCTGTCCCCCACTAGCAGTGTAGCACCCATAAACTCTCCTCTAGGTGTAAGTGCCCACTTCGATCTCCAGACCTCTTTTTAGCTCAAGCTGCGCTGGTCCCACCCCAGAGTCCCCTCCAGCCCAGCCAGAGCAGAGATTTATAGCTAACATGCGAACTCTGCTAGATGAGTGAAAAACTAAATTAATCCATGTGCCTTTCTCTAGTCTCTTGAATTTCAAAGCCTCTCTGTCCTCTCAATTCTCTGTAAGCATCTTAACCAGGCATCCTTGCTGAGAAGGCTGTGAGATGGGAGGATTTTTGTGTTCCTTTTTTTTCCCCAGTGACATCAGCAACTCACAAATTTCACATCTGCATTTTTCATCGGAAGGTTTAATTTCTTTTTTTTTCACCTCCTTTTTTAGCCATAGCTCAGTTGGGCATAGAGGAGGCAGGAAGATTTCTGCTTTTAAGAGATAGCAGTCTCTGTGGAGACTCACACTAAAGAAATCATCCAAAAAGAGCCTGTTGCTCACCAGAAAACTAGACGAGTGAAGAGGGGCTAAATAAATGCTATTAATTCCCCATTTTTCCAGCACTGGCAAGCCTGCATTTAATATCAGTTATTGACTGTGAATCTCACTGGATCATTTCAAGCATCGTGTGTCACGGAGCTGTAACGATCTGATGGCTCGGCCTTGGGCTGCCTGTGGGAACACGCACTGAGGCAGAGGCAAAAGACAGCTTCCCTTACTCCTTAAAACTCCCCTGCTTCTGCAGAGCCTGGGTTCCTCTTGCTTGGGTGAGGGTAAGGACAAGGGTTAGGTCACATGGGTTATAAATGCATGGCTCTTAGGTCACTGAGGTATGTGGGTTTTTTTTCCCCCTCCAGGCTGAAGCTGGGCAGAAGGAGCAGTCAGGGGTGGTGGAGGAGCAGGAGAGCTGCCGGCCCAACGCAGCAGTGTCAGCGCATCGGGGCCACTCTGCTCCACGTCCTTGACCTAAGGGGGCCTGTCCTGGGCTGAGTGGCTGGAGCCTGTGAGAGATGCCAGCCTGCACCTGGCTTCATCTAACTCTCTTATTCCTCCTGCAGTGGCGGGGAGGGCAGAGAGTAGCCAAGCGCCCCTCTCCTGCAGCCTTCCTTGCGTTGGGGTAAGCGAGCCGAGCATGAGCAGTGTGCTAGCCCCTTGCTGCTTCCCAGGCAGGTGCGCGGCGAGGTGCTTGTGAGGACGTTAACCCCACCTACAGAGCGTGCCAGTCGGTAATTATGGAAATGAGCGGCAATTAGATAATGTCACTCACTCTCCGCATACAGCTGAGAGCAGTTGAGAGCCACTCAGAAGCGAGGGTGAGACCCCCTCCTGGGGCCGCTGAGCAGATGGCTCTGACCTCCTGGCATTAACAGGCTGCCCTCCACTCGGGAAGGCCATGGCGGTGGGTGGCGCTTGGCCGCCGCTGCCTCCTTCGCCCCTGCTCGGAGCTGTGTAGCTCTGGGCCCGGGGCGGAAGTTGGAGCGGCGCCGGCGGGCGCGTTCCCTGCGGCGGCTCTGCGCGGCGGCCCTGGGGTGTCCGCGCAGGCTGCTCGGCTGCAGCACAGGTAACCCGCTCCGTGCCCCTGCTGCAGGGCCGTAAGGAGGCCTCGAAACGCTCCGCAAAGACTTCTCGGGGTCTGCTAGGGGCTGGCCGCATGCGCCTGGCCCTCTTGTTCTGTACCACTAAATCGCGCTGAGGTAAAAACAGAGCGTGGCAAATACTTGCTACTTCGCTTTTCCTTGTGCGCAGTAGTAGGTGGAACTGGAAGGCCAGTGTGCGAGTTTGTGACTGGGAGAGGCTCTGTCCACCATGAAGCCCTTCTCTGTCAGAAGTTTTCGTGCTGTGAAGAAGTTCAAGTTCTCGGAGATAATATATATAAGAAATTACTATGGGATTGTATAGTTATTGTCCCAAACTGTAACACATTGCTATGGCAGCAGTGTGCCGTGTGAGGTGCAAGGGTAGTACTTAATCTAAAAATAAAATGTTAAGAGCAGAAAATTATTTGCTCTCTGTGTGCCTTGGAGGATCATTACAGGAAATGGGTAAGGCACGGATTTACAGTGTCAGGATTTACACTCTCAAGGCTCAGGTTCACATCTTGGCCTAACGGACACTGTGTGGTCTGAGTTTTCCTCTCAACCCTGCTGTGTGGTGAGGTTTGCTAGCACTGCCAGAGCCGCATGGGATGCAAGACTCAAGTAGCAGGAGATGCCACCAGACAGGACTGGCAGAGCCCTGGAGGAGCCTTGGACAGCGTCAGGCTCCTGAGGGCAGGGTGCAGGCAGCCTTCCCACCACCTCCCCTGGCATGGCCAAAAGGGAATGAAGTATCCACAAATGACACCTCTATTGTATGACTTACGTGCTGCTTTCCTCCGTTGAAACCAAACCCTGACCCTGTCTTTCAAAACAGACAGAGAGGGATTGCCTTGGTTCCCCCAGTCAGCAGTGCTAGTCCAGTTTAGCATTTTCTGGCTCGTTTTCCTGTGATATTTAGGATGGAGTGAGTTGGTGATACCACCCTGTCTCCTGAGGAGCAGGTAGTCAAGTTACAGAAATCTGTACCACATTGGCCTGCTGCCTTCACTGCTCCTTTGAAATATCCCACGGACCGAAGGACCCACAGGGACTGAGATTTATCTTCTCACATGTATAAAACGGTGTCAGCAGCCTGGGGCTGGAAGAAGTCTGGCTGTCTGGACGTGCACTCAGGCTGTACCTGGACGTATGCATCACATCTGTGGCTGCCTAAGAGGGTGTATCCACACCTCGTGCCTTCCCTTCATGCTCAAAGAGTTAGTGTTTTAAAACAGGACGAGAAGAACAGCAAGGCTGAGGGCTGCTTCTCATGCAAGCAGAGTAACCCACCTCGCTCGGGAGAATGCAGAGCTGCTGCGAGAGCCCCTGTGCTGGGGGCTCCCGGGCTTGCGCTCTCCCTCGCTCTGGGACATCTGGCCTAGCAGGGAGTTTTGCTGCACTGGTGCTAAGTGTTGCAGGGAGCCAGGAGCTGCTGGGAGCACACTGCTGGCTAATTTACACACATTATTATATTCCTATTCCCATCTCATCAATAATTCCAGGCTTGGGTCATCGCTTTCTCTCTTTGCTCCCTCTCACTCTATTCTCCTTCTCCGTAAATCATGGGCTATTTTAGTGGAGCCACCAGGGAACACAGAGGAGAAAGGTAAACGGACGAGGGCCATGCACTTTTCCTCCAGTTGATTTTCAAGGCCTTAATGTCTCGTCCTCCTCCAGCCCCTGCCCTGACTGAGGCAGTATCCTGATTATTGGGAAGACAGACGATTTGAGCATTGGAACCTTTTGTCTTTTTTTCTTTTCTTTTTTTTTTTTTTTCTTTTTTGGTTTACACCTCTCCTAACACTTCCCTTTTTCCCTCCTTCCATTCTCCTGAGCCAAGCTGTTAACAATTAAAAGGAATTATCTTCCCTCTGGTTTTTACTTGATTGTATTTGTGTTTATAGCAGTTTAGCTAACAAGCTCCAGGCAGGCAGCTGCAGGGAGTGGGCCTGGCTTCCACTGGGCATTGAAAGCTCCCGTTTCTCTAGCTTGCGGGTTCTCTCTTAATTGATCTATTTTGTTTTCTAAGTGACTTGTTTTTAGTGCTGACTAAATTTGCGGGATTGACAGCCTGCAGATTATGGCTTCTGCAGGTCCATGGGGCAGGTAGGGCCAGGGCTGTGGCAGTGCGAGGTGTCCCCTCCTGCGCCTGGTGCTTCTTCTGCAGCCCAACCTCTGCCCGGGCCAAGCAGTGACTTTCCTGGCACTGCCCATCTCTGCACTAGGAGCATCAGCTGTCATCACCCACATCACAAAACACTCACCTCGAGCGAATATTTTGCCCCAATGCTGGTGACATGGTTTGTGACATAAGTGCTTCAACTGGCAGCTGGGAGGCTGAAGGCTGAATCTCAGTTCTTGTCACTTGCCCTCCTGTTTCGTATCTGTGCTAGGGTTGGCTATAGGCAGCAGAGCCATTCTCCTGCCCAGCGAACAAGTGCCTGTGCTAGTGGAAAACTTTCTTTCTTTTTCTTTCTTTTTTTTTTTTTCAAATGAGATTTTCAAAGAATGAAGCCAGTTTTGTGCTGTCTTTACTTGTCATCTTAAAACATCCTCCTACCCCAGGTATGCAGTCACTCACATGCAAATAGTTAGAAGTGAATTAAATCTTAATGCTAGGGGGTGTAGCTTCTGCTCACTGAATTGCTCACTGTTAGCTAGGGGTGAACGTGGTGTGTTAGGCAAACCACGAGATCAGGGTAAGCGCTTCGGCACTTCTTACCACATAAGCTACAGGTTGCCATATATAATTTGTATAGCATCCATTTTCAGTTTGTAAGGTCCCAGTTAGGCCCTCTAAAGTGTGAAAGACATGCAAAATAAAGGGAGAATGACAGGTTGACAGCAGGGATGTCTTCTCTAGTGCCTGCTTGGTTTGGTGTGCTAGGAAGCACAATGAAAGCAGGGGAATGGTCAGTTTGGATAATGTCCTTTCTTGTTCTGCATCCTTCTTATGCCCTGAGGAATTCTGGGCTTTGTCCCACACATTTTCTCTGACAGGTAGTTGTTACTGGGGAAGCTTCAGTACCATTCTTCTTAATAAAGTTGATAAGATTCTTTGTAAAAGGAGTTAAGTAATGTGGTCTATTTTTACATTGCTCAGTGTTCCAGGGTGTGCAGGGTACTTGGTGGAGTCTCTCTCTGCTCCTCCTAGTTCTGGTGACGTAAATATCCCTGTGGTTCTGGAATACTGCATGCCCACCTGCAGGCATGAAGAAGTGTCCAGTGTGTCAGCAAATGTAACCCAAGTTGCTAGACAAGATACTGATAAACTTCATGGTAATGATATGGTGAGTTGTGAGGTTAACTTTTTCCTTTCTCTTCTTCTCTTGACCCCACAGGTCCAGCAAGCTCTGTGAGTGCCAAACACTGAGTTATGGGCTGGATTGCTACCAGTACATCATGAAGATTGACTTTATTTTTGCTCTCCCAAGGATCACGTATCTTATGAATTCACTGTCTCCTCCACCTCACTGCTGCCTCCATCAATATTGTTACCACTTCTAGGAAAACTGAACTTGAGGCTTTGCCTTCAACTCAGCCTCTTCTCTCTCCTTGGAACAACCAGTATCACCTTCGTGTACTACCAGAACAAACCCCTGTGGGTTATTTTGCCCTTCACAAAGCACATCGCCTGGAGAAATCACTTCATATTCCCTTTCCTTCTGGGATAAAGGCCTCCAGATCTTAAAGGACAGTTGAAATCTTTCCTTGAAGAGGAGACATTTTCTCTCAGCTACGCGCACTTGCTGTCTCTCTTTCCACCTACTCTCCCTTTCTCTGTCCCTTTCTGCTTTCCTCCTTCTCCTGTGGGATTTATCAGCTTTGGTGTTGACTGCTGGGGTTATCATTGCAGTACTGTGGCTTTTGTTTTCCTCCTAGGGAAGAGTTGGTTCTTGAAACAATGGGCTTCACTCTCCACTCTATCTACTTCACCTTGAAGGTGAGTTTGCTGCTGGGCCCCTTGCTGGGTCTCTGCTTGGGTCTGGAGTTCATGGGCATCCCTAACCAGTGGGCCCGCTACCTCCGCTGGGACGCCAGCACCAGGAGCGAGCTCAGCTTCCAGTTCAAGACCAACGTCTCGGCCGGGCTGCTTCTCTACTTCGATGACGGCGGTGTCTGTGACTTCCTCTGTCTGTCCCTTGTGGATGGGCGCATCCAGCTCCAGTTCAGCGTGGACTGTGCTGAGACTACGGTTATTACAGACAAGCAGGTCAATGACAGCAACTGGCACTTCCTCATGATCAGCCGCAACCACCTTCGGACGGTGCTAGTGCTGGATGGCGAAGCCAAAGCGGGTGAAGTGCGTCCACAGCGCCAGTACATGAACATCGTCAGTGACCTTTTTGTGGGTGGAGTGCCCTTAGACATCCGTCCTGCAGCCTTGACACTCGATGGTGTTCTGAGTGAGCCTCCGTTTCAAGGATTTATCCTGGATCTGAAATATGGCAACTCTGAGCCACAGCTCCTGGGCAGCCAAGGGGTCCGGCTGGACATGGAGGGGCTCTGTGCAGAAAACCCCTGTGAAAACGGTGGCACTTGCTTTCTTCTGGACGGCGAGCCACACTGTGACTGCTCAGCCACTGGACATGCTGGCAAACTCTGTTCTGAAGGTAAGAGAAGCACTTTCCTGCTCCCCATTGATGCTTATACTACCCTAACTGTTAGTCTGTCACTTAGCAGGGCTATGGGAGAGTTCTTATCCCTGCTGGTGGTGATCAGAGGAATTAAAATTCCATCATCCTTTTCCCAGCTGGAGATAATGAAATGGGAATAGAAACATGTGCAGTTGCAAAAAAGTAACTTTCTGAAGACATGCTGCATTTATAGCATAGAAAAAATGTCATCAGCAACTTATTAACAAGGGTGGAGAACATAAAGTGGTGAATATAGGAGTACTGAGTGTTGGTAAACGAAATTCAGAAATAAGAAATTGCCTTAGCTTTCTGGGTGAATTCCACTACCGTTTGCCCCTAAACACCCAATGAAGGTTTACCTCCTTACGTAGCTGAACGGGAGCCGTGTGTGTGGAAACCCAGCGGATTGCAAGGGCACGGCCAGGGGAAGGTGTCGCTGGTGGGGGCTGTTGCTGGGCTCTGAAAGCCCCGTGCCCCGCTCAGCTGCACGCGCGCTGACCGCCGAGCGGCCCTTGCATGGGGTTAGCACCCTTGACTAAACTGCTTTGAGATCTCCTGGAAGATCTTGCTCTATGGTGAGAAAGACAGACCAATTTGAATGTTTCTACGCTGTTTCATGACTCCTTTTAAAATTTCAGTCCAAAAGTTTTAAATAATGCAAATCACCTAATGAGGCGAATCTCAGGGTTTTCTCCTTGAACTTTAGCAGCGTCGTGGTAATTGACTGTGTATGTCTGAAGTCAGTTCACTGGAAATCACAGTGTGAATTTGAGAATTGCAACACGATGTGTTTTTTTTTTTTGACATTTGAGTTTAAACACAACAGGAACCAAGGTGGAATCTGAGGAAAAAATGTCCAATCTTCGGGGAAAAAAACAACAAAAAACCCTCACAATGTTAAAATGGAAATATTTGCAATAGTACCTTATCTAATCAAAACTAACATTTATTTAATTCCTTGGGGAATAAAAATGGATCATGCAGAATTTACTACATAAAATGTGAGAAGTGATGAAAATAAATTCTCAGTACTGTTGATATGTAAGCAAAAAGGAAGTCAGCACCCCTCAGAATTCGTGTGTAAATACCGACCTAATTTTATGGTATATGTGGAGAAGAAAACTTGTTTCTGTAGGAGGGGAGGGTTGGGAAAATAAACACGACATCTTCTATGTGTTTATTTTAATGTGATGTTAATGATAACAGAAAATTTGGCTTCATATGCAGATGTTACAGTAACAACACATGATCACTGCACACGATTTTATTCTTGACCAAATTAGCCATCTTGCAGACAAAACTAATATGCCTCCTGGGATGACATCAGGTGTATGTGCTATAGAGATCTACAGTGTACTGAAGAAATAACTCATTAATTTTACAAGTTTTCAGCTACAGTAATAAAATCTGAAGTATGTTAATTATAAATAACACTTGGCAGATTTGAAGTGCACCAATAAAATCACTTTTAGAATGACCAGTGAGAGCCTGTCTAAAGTTATTTCTTTTCCCCATTTTTTTCCAAATTTTCAACTTTTCTGAACTAGATTTTAGAGGAAAACAGAAGGAAAGAGTTTGTTCCAGCAAATACCTCTTTTTCTTTTTTTTTGGATTCAGTCATCTTTAGACTCCAGGAGGACATCATGGATATAACATAACTATAAATTCCCACAGACTCTGAGGTGTGATCACCTCCTTTCCATCCTCTTCGAGCAGAGTCTGGGCAGAGTGTGTGAAGTCCTGATAGGAGGTTGCATCAGAAAAGAGGTGTGAGCCCAAGAGGTGCTGAATACCAAAACTCTTCCTGACTTAGCACCAATCCGGCCCAAACCAAAAATGAAAAGCAACAATTTTCTGTACTTGAACCATCTGGAGCTCGAGAGAGCGCTGGGCAGGGGTGAGCAGTTTGTAGCATGGCCACTGGCCTCCACCTCATACCCATGCAGAACAAGGACATCTCGTGCCTAAATTGAAGTTTCAGGTGATGGAAGATTGCAGGAGCTACCCACACAATATTAAGAAAAAGCCTCTTTCTTCTGCTGGGTTAATGGATCCAGACACCACAGAAAGCTGCTCAGGACATCACCAGCGTATGGTTTTCACCAAATGCCGTGAAAAAACACAGCGAGCAAAGTGTCCTTATAAGCATGGGACAGCTATAGGCAGGGCTGGGGGGTGGGCTCTCTATTTCCAGAGTAGGTGGAGCAATATGAAACGCATCTCCTAATGAAGCCAGGAATATTTCTGTTGTAGACATCACGGATCAAGCAGTGCTATTGTTGCCTTTGCAAGTCATGCGTCACCATTGCTGTTTGCTTCCTACGGTGATTCATCACTTCCCAGCCCAATTGAGGGCTCTATTGAGGGTGAGCAAAGAGGTTTGTTTTCCTACAGTGATTCATCACTTCCCAGCCCAATCTTCTATTGAGGGTGAGCAAAGAGGTTTGTCACGATGTACCTTTTTTAATAAACATTTTTAGCTCTTTGTTGGTTGTGGTCTGTTTACTCACACCTAACTGTATTGTGCAGAGAACTTCTCTGTTGAACAAATGCGGAGATTTCCACAGGCATCAACTAGTCCTTCTGTTTTTTTTCCTGTTACTTCATGATGCATATTTGGTTTGTAATGGAATTTTATAATCAGCCTTGTTTTCTGTTTCCTTTATCTTCAAAAGTGGTGATTTCTGTGCACTGTATGATATCACCTAAAAATGTTGCAATATCTCTGAAGATTCAGAGAAAATGGGGAAAAACAGAAGAAAAGCTTTCTAGTCGGTGGATACAAGCACACAAGGAAAAGTGGCAAAGAAACTAAAAAGGAAAAGTAAGAAATATAGGTGTATGACTTTTAAAAATTTAGCAAGCTTCAAAGAATTTTCTTTCAATATTCTGGATTTGGCAAAACTTCCACTGGTGAGCAGTCGGATGCGGTAGGAGTGTCAGGGCTGGATGCAAGCTCTTCCTGCCTGTTGCCTGATCGCCCTTAATCAGATGGAATTTTCTTTTTTTGCTTTTTTTTTCTTAGGAGATTGATTTTTTTTAATAAGAACTGTCTTCATTTGTTTCATTTTCTTATCCTGCTTTTGCATATTTTCAGAAATGTCATTCAATGGTTATTTTATTCTCAGACTGATTCTTTCTTTTCAGAGAGACGTGCCCTTTCAACTGGTATCGGCAACTCCCTTTGTGGATCCTTAGCCCTGTTACACAATTTTCCTGTCTTTTTATATGTGTATTTTCAGTTGGTCATTGGCATTGGCTTTTTTACTGGGGACTGATGGGATCCAATCAATAACAGCTTCTGTTTGAACAGCTAAATGCAATATGTACCTTTTTAATAATGAGTTCGCTTGACAGGGTCCAGGCCATTACTTGGCTATTGACTGATACCTACGTCTGCAGATGGTAAAACCACAACAATCTCATTTATTCTGTGGCCAAAGAAATAAAAAATAAATAGAGAGTGGAACCTGCTGATCATGAACTGTGACGGAATGAAGCTCCATTTACAGTATTAGGAGTTATTGTAATGCAAAGTGCAGTTCCAGTTATAGTGAACCTCAGCAGAGAACCAACCATTCTGCAGTGAGACAAAACTATAAATCCTCTGCAGAGCTTGCTCTCCTGTGCTGCGTGAAAGATTTTTGGCAGTTAATGTGCATGACAAGTTACCAGGACTGTGTATGTCATGGTAGTTGTATGTCATTATTGGTCACCGATAAATGTGATTTCTTTGAGTGTATACAATGGGTGTGCAAATATGTGCACACTTGGGAAGATCTGACTGTTTGAATAAAACGTGATCCTATTTTCATTGCAGTTGGAGTAAGCTGGTTCATTGAATCTGACATCTCTGTAGGGTACAGAGGCTGGCTGATTTGAGTAGCAATTAATTTGTACGTTCCTGGGCAATAGTAGCATTAGACATGAAAGCTGAAGTCAGAGACACCTTCCCCTCCAATAAAGCTCACCGGTCTCTGTGGGATCAGGCTGCTGCCAAGCAAATGAGGCTCCTGTGGAATTTGAGCATCAGAATAGATATGTTCATGTCATTGAAAAGAGGAAAAAAAAAAAAGAAAAAACCTTCCCACGCTGATTTTGTGAACAGTGCTGCTGTAACAGCCTGGGTAGCCCGATGCATGTGCTCACCAGCACCCTTCAGGATCATGCTGTCTTGCTTAGTCCCGTAGATATTTCCTTTTCCACCAGCGTCAAGGTGTAGGGAGTTAGTTCAGTCATAGGCAACAGTCCGAGTGCAGTGTTTTATGCTCAGTAATATTTTGGCCCAAGATCTCATTCCTCTCCTTAGGCCTCTTCTGGGCTTTGGGGGTGAAGGTGGACTAAAGATGTGCTTAGAAATGACATGAACTCTGGGTGTAGGTGCAGAGGCAAGAGGCTGCTGTGATCACCAGCTTCACAAAGCACCACGCTGAAGCCTTTGTGTTGCCTGCAGGGGCTGTTTCTAAACGAAGCCTGAATAGGGGCCTGATTGCACCTCTTCCCTTGATTACAGAGCAAGATTTCCTGGGGATGCTGCCTGCTGAATGACAGAGAAGCCCGTTGCTCTGTAATTATAACACTTTAAACTGCAGCAGGAACAGATTTTTCTATAGCCCCTCCATTTCATTTAAAGAGACAAGATACTGCAAGATTCATCCTCCGCCTGCCCCTTTGGAGCAGCCCAGTTTTCCCATTTTGGCTCCATCTAAAAAAGAGTGCCTACCCTTCCTTGCAATCAGAGGTGATCGCTGCCCTCTGCCCCAAACGTTTTAGCACCAAGGGCTAATGTGGCACTTTGCCATAAGCCTGATGGCTGCACTTAATTTGCATATGCATTTACATACATTTTGTAATCAGAAACAAATGAACATGGCCATAATATTTGTTTTCACTTGCATATTCCTTGATAGATGAATATAAATTGGCGGTTGTTGAATTCACCAGCAGTAAACAGCTGTAGACCCTGCACTTGGCCT